ATCGCTGCTCTTCTTTTCATTCGGTGACGCTATTACAGATCAGACGAACTCGCGGAGCCATACATTTGATCTACACGTGGCTCATGCGACCATCTTATGACCATATCCCGGCTAGCGACCCGGTGAACCCTCCCCATCAACCCCATCCGCGCCGGTTATGTCCTGCTCATCCGATAACGTCATACCCTCGACCGCCTCCTCAAAACTTTCCAGCTCCACAAGCTTGGCCTCGGACGACGTAATCTTCAGCTCCATCTCCTGCTTCAGCACCTCGACCGTCGCACTGAATCCAGCAAGGGCCTCAAGTAGAGCCCACGCTGTTGCCAGTGTGTCGAGATGGTCCTTCGTCGCTGAGATTGCTTCGTCTATGGCAGCGTAGAGAAGATCGCGCGTAGTGAAAGTTGCGGGGTTGATGAGAGGCGCGTGCGTGGCGAGCACAGTGACTATGGATGCGAGGTCGGAGACCGTACTTTCTGTGCTTGAAGATGCAGAAGGCGAATCGGCGGCAGGAGAGCTAGTTCCCTCCTCGGTGATCTCTGGAAGGATGTGTACGGTATGCGGCTCGGGTGTTCGTGGCGGCGACGGATCTTGCGATAGCGGCTTGGGCTCGTTTGCGGGTGACTTTGCGATGAGAGGCGACCTTTCATTCTCGCCGACTTTGGATGGGACTGCGTCGCGCTTGAGTTTGGAATTCGGACCGTGCCTGAAGATGTGTCGCAATAGACTTCCTCGCGTCATCGTGGCGGTTATGGTTGAACTGGCGAAGTCGACGGGGGTCAGGTCGCCGCGGCTATACCGACGGGAACGAGATATGACTCTCAGCGTAAACTGTCGGCGTAGAAGCGGGAGGTTGGTTGGGTGATGGCGTCGCCGCAGTCGCAGTAAATACTTGCTCACCTACAATATAGTCGCGCTAGCCAAGGCCATATCGACAAACGCACGATCTCGTATGTACTTCCAGAACACCACGGTTCTTCTGTTCTTCTCTCGAAATCCATCAATTATTCAAAGTCTTCTGATGGCCTTCAACAATACCTACGACAGTGCCCGTGACCCTCGGCTTAGTCGTCAGCCTAGCAATGTCGACATGCCTGATGTAGCGTCTATTGTCCCGACTCCGAACCGCCAAGCCGTTCCGATGCCGCCTACAGAGCTGTGAGTACCCTGAAACTATCTCCGAAGGAGCTCTTACTAACTTCATCACAGTGCGGCGCCGCCCTCAATCGATGGCAACATGGCACCAATGAGGCGGGTTCCCGAGCTTCTTGCACGCATCGCGGACCAGGAAGCTGACAACGCAAGACTCCAGCAAGAGAAGACGGCTGCCAAAAAGATGTCCAGCGACTACCACACCCGTCTCACGCAGACAACCAAGTCCCTGGGCGATCTGACAGTCTCGTATTCGAAGCGCCTGGAGGAGAAGGACGCTCTATTCAGTGAAAACGTCGCAATCGAAGAGCGCGACACACTGATGAGAAAAGAAACCGCCAAGTCCGCCCGCGACATCAGCGATATGACGGCCAAGATACAAGAGATGGAGGCCCAGATCCAAGCATACGAGGTCGAGAACAAGGATCTACAAGATCGCGTCACTACGTTGGAGACAGAAGCGCATAGCCTACAGTGTCACGTTCAAGACCTAGAGTTTGAGAGAGAGCAGGGTCGGGCTTCGGAAAGTATCGATGGATATGGAGCAAACGGTAGGAGGGACTCCATGCAACGCCCCATGTCGAACGTTGACGCCACTCCTCCGCGCCAAAGTTCAGATCGAGACCGAGAATCGAGGTACAGCGAGGCGGTGTACACTGAGCATCGGAGGACGTCGGGTGGATTCTACGAGCGCGGTGGCCATCAACGAGGAGCTCGCCGGGAGCGCGATCGTGGCCGAAACGTACGGAACAGGTCATCTACCAACGATCGCTTCGTCCCTGACCTGTACCCTCCCACCGGACCTCGCGCCGACAGGCGCTGATGCAGAGAGCAGGGAGAAATGTGAAGGATCGTGATGAAGATGGTGACAAGCGTCACAACCTGACGCCGTTGGTAAGACTGAGAAGATTGAAGGAGGAAAGTCCGTACGGCAAGCCTGCTCTACATGGCGGGAAACGAACCTGTGGGAATTGTCAGATGTACGCAGCGGATTCTGACTGGGTGGGTCCCAATATTTGGCATTCTTTGCCGTACATACAATACCTGGTGATAGCAGACGCCTTAGCATGATGAGAGCTAATGCCGGTTGCTTGAGTCATGTTCATCATCCCCAGTCTGATCCATCGCTAGTGAAACATGCGTAGACACTCATCAGTTTGCATACTGAAGATAGTATTGTTACCGTCGCCGTACACAGACCCATAACATGTGTTGAAAGAACGACGAGGTTGGTCATAAGTCACAGTGAAGTGCGAACGTCAGGGTTGTCGTCACCGACAAAGAGTCTCCGCGGACGAAGATATATGTGAAGAGACTAGTGGGAAGCAGGGTACGCGGAGCCTTAATATCATGCCGTGATAAATGTGGAGAGGTGACTTGGATGGAATCTCGCGTAACAGAAACCGACAGGGGGGCAAGAGCATCGGACATACAAGCCGCCTCACGTGACGTGTCCGGGACTCGTGAACGGGCCGCTAGTTCATCTCAGTCAATGACCCCGAATATAAGGTTCGCTAAAGCGGAGAGGATCTGGAGGATTGCGAGGACATGTGTCTGACTGGTTGATCGGGTCTGGATAGGAAGATAGGCGAAGCCACGATGCGACTGCGCCGCATGCCGGTACGCGAGCCAACCACTCATGTAGAGCCAGGCGTTGCTCGCTGCCCGTTTACCCAATGGTGGTGCTTTGATCAATAATCGCGCAACGGGCGACGTTTCTTACTGCGTTGGTGGCAGCGGAGTAGTCGACAGAACCCATGTTCGTACTGCAACGCGATAAAAGGGCCGTTTCCGCGTCAGAAGGCGTCCTCGGAGCATCATCCGTCTTTCTCCATTCGTGCGTACCATCTTGAGAACCATGGCAGAACCAATGAACAAACGCGTCGTGGTGGTAAGTCGCCTTATATGCCATGGCTAATATGAGGCTGATCATTCCAATAGGTTGGTGGCTCGATAGCTGGGCTCATGCATGCTGTGGCGCTCAAGTCTCATGGCCACAGCGTTGTGGTTCTTGAGATGCGAACTGAACAGCAGCTACAAGCCCGAGCTGCAGGCTTGAGTCTATGGTCAAACGCACAGAAAGTGTTCACAACATACCTACCTGATGTTGAGCTCGACGATATCGTATTCCGCAACCCCGCATTTCCAATCCTTGACAAGGATGGTAAGGTCTTGGTAGAAGTACCGTTCACGGAAGACGTGCGCACCTCGTGCTGGGCTGGTCTTCACGGTCTGCTGTGGATGGCCTGCGAGAAAGATGTCGAGGGACATGGGCCTGTCAACATGCGCTGTGGATACCAGGTATGCGGGCTGACTGAGCAAGCTGACCACCTCGTGGTGTCATACAAAGGCGAAGATGGCATCGAGGAACAGATGACGGCTGACATGGTCGTGGCGGCCGACGGCGCACGTTCCCGTCTTCGAAGCCTTGTCCTTCCTGACGTGAAGACCGACTACGTTGGCTATGTGGCGTGGAGATCACAATTCCCAGAAAAGGATGCGCCTGACGAGCTACGTTGTGCCATAGAGGGGAAGATGCCTCTTTGCATGCTGGACGGGAGCTACATAGTGGTGTAAGTTGGGTATAACGTTGCCAACCATTGACTGACATATGGTAGCTATCTGTCGCCTAGCACGATCGGAGACATGCGTCCTGGGAACCGTGTCATCGAATGGTGCTGGTATGATGCTTGCGACGCTTCGACACCAGTGTTCGCGGATTACATGACCGACGTCAATGGTGTCCGCCATAACGTCACCGTACCCGGGAACCTATTGCGTCCAGATGTTTGGGAGGCTCAGCTTAAGCGAAGGGACAACGTGTTGTCTCCAATGTGGAGGAAGATCTTCCACGAGTCGAACCCGCCGCTTCTCACAGCCGTTCGCTGTATGTGCCGTCCATGTAGATACTCGGTTGATGATTTGTGCTGACTTACGCAACCATCTAGCGTTCGACAATACAAAAGCTTCGTTCTTCGGAGGCAAGTTATTGCTGGCAGGCGAGGCATTCATTCAGCTTCGCCCACACCTTGGCGCGAGCTGCGATATCGCAGGGTTGTCGGCGATTACATTGCCGCAAGTGCTGGGAGGGGAGATGAGCCTCGAAGAATGGGAAAAGAAAGTGGGTAAGCACGCCATGGAGAAAGCGATCGGAAGCAGGGCCACTGGAATTTTTGGTATGACGGGACAATGGCCAGAAGGCTATACAGCAGAGTCTGCGGCAAATTTCTCTGAAGAGGTGATGGTCTGAAGAGGTGAAGCTTGCCGTGTGAAGGGAAGGAGACAAGGGGGTGATGACGTAGGAGATGCTCAGAAGTTGGCCCCAGCGCTAGCGAACGGCCTAATCGAATTCAGTCGGATGCCTCCTGCTCACTTGCGCATCATGTCTTTTCCATCACAATCGCTCATCGCAGCAGAACACGGGTGCTCATCATCTCCAGCGGCAGACGGCCGTTTAGAGATCAACATGGTCCTGCTATCGTCGGCTTTCATCTTGCCGCGAGCGGACGGTCGGCCGAACATTGACGCGAACCCCGCGCAACGCCTCAGCCTGGCACCTCTTCAGCGCAGCATGCATCCAAATATCCAACTTTTCGGATTCCGCGGACACGCTTGACGTGTTTTTGCCCAGTCGGGGATCTAATAGTGTGTTTATAAAAGGTCCGAATGCTTGGTTTGCCGGCGGTGGACCGCCTAAACTCGAGTTGCCAAGTCTACATCGCGCGAAAAGACATGGGGGACTGCTTCGCATACTATGCGATGTACGAAACGATGTCGAGGATGATGTACAAAATGATGAATCATATAAGTGTAGCTGAGTGTCTTCAATCATCACCCTGCTACAGCTCAAGATGATGTCCGCAAGTATCTTCGCTCAGCTCAAGGAGGCTTGGGACCTGTCTTTCGTGGAGACGCGCTCTTACTCCGAGCTTGCGGCCAGCATAGTTCTCTTCGCCCTCGTTCTGGGCTTCCTACGCGCAGTCTACCTACTCTACTTTCATCCACTAGCATCCTTTCCGGGTCCATACCAGGCGGCACTATCCAATTGGTGGCAATACAATCTGAGCAAGACTGGCCAACAAGAAGAGACACTTGAACAATTGCACAAAGCATATGGTAAGTCTCACGACGAATCACACGCCCAGGCACTGACGATTTCAACAGGCACACGAACACTGAGGATCGGTCCAAATGAGCTTCACATTACTGGTCCCGCGCTCTACCGTACAATTTACTCACAGAACTACGCCTTTCCCAAACAAAAGTACTTCTACGATGCTTTCGCCGCACACCACTCTGTGTTTGTCGAGGGCGACAAAGAGCTGCACCGTGTACGACGAAAGCTTCTCAGCAACTTCTTCTCGAAGACGCACATAAGGTCGATGGAGAAGACTTTGCTCTCCAAAGCCACCCTCTTATGCAATAGGATATCGGAGACTAAAGGCAACGGCGCGATCAACTTCTACTATGCTTTCAGGTAGCCCTCCCCAATCCTACCGGATGTAACATGAACGCTAAAATCATCACAGGTGCCTGACAGTCGATCTCATCACGCAAATGGCTTTCGGAGAGTCTTTCAACTTGCTTACTAAATCCGATGACAATACTTTCGACGCTCCCTTCCACAGGTGCTTTGATCAAGCCGCCGAGTCACTGTGGACCATGCTATACTTCCCTCCTCTCCGGACTATCGCCTTCAAATGCCCACCCAGTATAGCTGCCAAAATCAGTACATCAGCCGCAAAATTCCAGGCTCTCATCACCGCCACCGCGGATACCGTAGCCAATTTCCGACGCCTGAAGACTTCCGGAAAGTCCTTCGACCATGAACTCGTGTTCGATTCTTTGGAACACCTGGACGATGACCTTGTCTTAGCCGAAGCCATCAGTACTTTGGTCGCAGGCTCCGACACCACGGCCTTCACACTCGCGACTGCTGTCCAACAGATGAGCGAGGATCCTGCAATCTTCGTAAAGCTAAGGAAAGAATTGCGCGACAGCGGTATCACGGCGGGCCAAGATCTCAGCCTTTTGACACTAGAACAGCTTCCATTTTTGGTATGTGCCCTGACATGATCGCGATACGAAGCTAACGTTATCAGACTGCCTGCGTCAAAGAATCGTTGCGCTATGCTATGCCCGTGCCAGGGCGACTCCCGCGTGTCGCACCGTATGGAGCAAAGCCGCTCATCGTCGACGACAAGATCATTCCACCTGGAACCGTAGTCGGCATGTCTGCGTACAGCATACACTTTGACGAAAGCATATGGGGTGAAGACGCCAGAAGCTTCAACCCCGCTCGTTGGTTGACTGGAGACGCAAAAGAGCTGGAGAGATATCTCGTGGCCTTTTCCAAGGGTGCAAGGCAATGTCTCGGGGTCAATCTTGCCTATGCAGAGATCACCCTCACGCTCGCCATGCTGGTCAATAGGTTTCGCTTCGAACCTGACGAGACGATGACGGAATCTGATACCCGACGTCTGGACCACTTTACGTATGAGTTTGAAGGCACTGGCGTTCGTGCTATTGTCTATGAGGATTAGATCTAAGCTTTTGCACCCTGCGCATTAGACAAATGCTTTGGTTAAGGATCGAAAAGCTGGGTGCGATTAGCAGGAAGTCGAGACTGTGAACGAGGAAAAGAGGATCGTATGAGTAGATTGTACTATTTAGCGTGTGCGTTCTTGGCAATGCTGCGAATGTAGGCGATGCGATCTTTCATCATCTCCACCTCTATGTGAATGTATGTGAGGCTAGAAGAGGCGACCGGCTTGTCTGCGGTTTGACGTGCGCACATGCTGGTCAGTTGCTGGGGTGGTTAACATCGCGCACGGGTTGCGGTCTGCGATGCGTTAAACTACTATGACAAACGCAACTTCGGGCAGTCAACTCACGCCGAGCTCAAGGCTCATGTCCGTCAAGGGTGCAGTGCTCATCGTCGGATGGTATGCGCAACAACAGGTTGGAGAATAGCATCCCTGACCTGTTGCACAATTTGACGGTTGATGGCAGAGCGAGGGCTGAGCTCAACATCTGGCACGAAGTCAGCGACGAACATGCCTCATGGCCGACCATATTCACTGACCATTCGATGCGCGGTGGGCGTTGAGATCCTTGCGCCTGAGTAGATGCCAGACGAGGACGAACGATGGAGGGCATGTCACCACAAGAGTGACGATTGCGATGATAGATTCGCTAGACAAGGATGACATGGTTTCTGATTGGTCCAGCTAGCGACTAGTGGCGGTGTCTTGCGCGCTCGATCCTCTGAGAGACGCGGATTGTTTGAACGATAAGGGTGTAATTGTGTAGAAGGCCGTTCAGTATGGAACTGATGCTGGCTATCTTCATAGTGCCTGGGACCATTTTATAATCAACAGAAATGAATTTTGTGCGTCTGGTGGTAAGGGAGAGGTTTGGTGGTAAGGGAGCGCTGAAACATGCAGACGCTTGGACTTTGGCGTGACGCGCCTGTATAGGAACTGTACATTAACCAGAAGCAGACTTTGGCCTGATGAGGCTTGAAGAGGCCATGTAGCACACCCAATCAGAAGCAGAAGCTCATGGCTATGCAGCAAGCAAACTTGACATCATGCCGCGATCCAACGACTAATGGCAGTGGAGGCTAACTACGGGCTGCGTACGTTCGCGAGCTTATAGGAATTGATGGATAGAGAAGATGCACGGCCACGGACTGATTAGGCTACGTATGAAAGCGCAATACATGCGACCATCTCGACTGTTATTGGGCGCCTATCCCTATATACCTCAATTGTGCCCTTGAATGACTTCGATTCGTGTTCGCCTTTTCCGTGTGAGCACCCCTTGACTCGCATCGAGTGGCCCGAAGCCAGGAGACGGCGGCCTCGATGAAAGACATCATCCTGATCTATCCTTCGTCGTAACAGACCGACTCTTTGCGATTAAAGGTAGCCGACTGTCATGTGTCATGTTCTCGGAAGGTGTTGTGTTCTATGCACGATCATCAGACGGTCACAACCAGATCCGATCGAGACCCGTACTATGCCATCCTTCTCTCCGATGGTTCCACGGAGGTAAACGCTTGATGTGCAGGTATATAAGCAAGACCAGGTCGAGGTACAAGGAGGTCGACCTGACCGTCGACGAGGTCTCCGATGCTTGGCCGAGCTGGGCTATTGGCGAGCTCGGCATCTAGAGTGGTTCAGCCGGGATTACATATTGCAGGGCTACAGTCAGATGTACATACCCATCCGACAGACTCCATTGTTAGGACGAGATCGCTTGATCCAATGACATAACAGCGCAACCGAAGGGGGACATGTTGTGACGAGGGTAGCGATAGCGATTATGTCCCCGTTCGACAGGGACGACATGTTTTGTTACACTTGCGAGGATGTGAGGAATGGAATAGAATCCGTGGTAGGAAGACTTGAATAGACGCGATTGATGCACGAGATCGATGCCGTCGTATATGCCGCTTGAGAATCGTCCTGCCGATTGGAGAAAACCACAGAAGACAGCGGGCTGGCATTTTATAAATGTGTGTTGAGCAGTCTAACGCGTGTATAAGCTCCCAGCCCATCTTGCCTTAAGTATTGGGATGCGTGCTCAGCTCCGTAGTCGTCTACGTTCTTGCGAAGCGAGAAATGATCTCAAGCTAGCAAGATGCGAGCCTACGAGGAACCGGCGGCCTCCCGGCCGTTCCCTACTCTCCATTTGAACCTACGTTTCAGAAGCAGCGGGTTTAGCCCGATATTTGTTCCAGCGACTATGGGCATATGCACGGCGTTGATACACCTATAAGATTCAGCGTTAACAGGGACGCATCGCAGAGATCTGCACCGCGGACTAGATTGGTGGAGGGTAGGTAGCGTGGAGGCTCGTGTTGGTGCTAAGAGTGACGGGACGAGCGCGCGAACCCGCATCCGCCAGAGGTCCGCTGGGCGTTCTTCCGTGCTCGTCCGGCGGCGTTCTATCAGGACGCATGGCGGTGCAGTGGTCGGCTCAATGATTGCGCATTGCTTCCTCACCATATCGTGGTTTTTGATGGCGGGCAGTGCAGTGGCGCGTCCAATCCTCTGCGCCACGCGTTCCAAGGTTCTTTTATAACGCAGGCCCTATGCGTTCATTGTGTTCCGATGCAGTTCAAAGCGATCGTGGATGAAGGGCTTCGTCAATGTCCGCCTGTATGTAGCGTTATGTTGGATCGTTAACTTGAGTCGGCGTTACGAGGTGCGAATACATTGTTCGGTGGGTGATGCAGCCTTCGCACCGGGTCGCCCGCGATGTGAGTTAGCAATTGCCGCCCTCTAAATCGCAAACCCATTCTAGGATGGCAGTGATTCTGTGGGCCTTTGGGATCTATCGCGTCTCAAGGATCTGAAGAAGTAACGCGAGGCAGTGGAGCGGCAATAGTTGCTCGAACTCGCCGGGCGGCACGATGCGTTCGCGGTTTGCGTGAGTCGCATTAGGCTGTATATCATCCAAGCTGGTGTGCTTATGGATTCAGCATTTGAGCTTCGCAACCCATTCGATTTGCGTTTCCGGAATGGCGTCCTTGACTGAGATGGTGTAACCTGGAGCGTGGAATGAACCAAATGCATCCTTCCATGATGCAGATGGTGGACTGCCGTGCATTACCTTGTGAAGTCCCCATTGTGCATGATTGTAGGATAGGAGATCATTGGCCTGAGCAGACAGGCAAAGGAACCCTGGAGGGCTCATCAATTATCAGCTAGAATTCGCGACAGACGCTGCCAGGTGTCAGGTAGGTAAGTGGAGCCGAGGCTGCCCAGATGAGATGCCCCCGGGGCCGAAGCGGCCCGCGCAGCGCCAGTCGTCAACAGGCCCACATCGCAACCGCAACCGCTTTTCCTCTCGACCCTACCATCACGACAACGCTAAACAGCTTCCAAAGCATAACGATATTCTGGGAATGCATTCGCCATTAGCATGTGCATCTCTGTCAAGGACTGGTCTACAGCAGGCGACATGCACTGCCGCCGCCGACGCATGTGACGCGATCGCACTGTCCTAAGCAGTTTCAGTGTGGGAATCGATCAGGCTGTATGGCATATGTCGCCTGGTCATGGTCTACGTGCTTCATAGTCTGGATGTAAAAGGTTAGGAAGGCGGGAACGTGTTGTAGGTGGTCTGGCAACATTATTATGATATCTCTCTATGATACGCCACTCTTCCCATCTTTCGTCGTCAACAACATTTTTTTTTCATAGCTAAGACCCATCTAACTACGCCCCATCTTCCAAGATGCTCGACTCTTCTGTTCGCTAGGTTTTTTGATAGTCTCTAGCGCGTTGAGAAAGAGAAGTGGGCTTTGCCATGAGGTGGTGGAAGAGCTTTGTTGAGTTGTTCCCTATCCCGTGTCGACGATGCGAGTGATGGTTATCGCCGAGAGAGGTAAGTAGGAGTGGGTTTGAGTAAAGTATCGTCGACGTGCTTGGTGATCTTGCGATCGATGGCTGAACGAAAGAACTCGTCATCTAGGAAGCTGTCAGCGACGAACAGTGAGCGTTGACACATCTCAACGAACCGTTAAAGTCTCTTTGAACATGCTCTTTACGCCTGAGTAGGTGCCAGATGAGAACTAGGGAGGGCGGACATGTTGCGACCAGACTGACAATGGCGATGATAGATTCGTTGGAAATGGTAGACATGGCGGTTCTGATTGGCTGAGCGACGCGAACTGACCAGTACGTGTGGTCTGCGCTTTACAAGATAGTCGGAAATAGCGTTGTGAATGAGGAATGAAGTTCTGTGTGAAAGATCTGTTATGCTTGAGTTGCAATTTTTGAAGATGATGGGAAAGCGCTTTAGATAAAGTGTGCTACGTTCATCGGCTGAGACCCACACCCCAACACAGATATCCCCAAACTATCATCGGTCACCCCTACGCTGGGTACTTGGGCAACTCCTCACGAGAAACGGCTCATCATTGGCCAGTTGCGTACGGAACGTCTTAGGCGCCAATACATTCTCTGACGTTGACACCCGGATGCAGGAAGTTGTAAAGGACGATACACTTTACCGTCCTACTCGAGCCTACCATAGGGCTGGCCATATGTGGGATGGGAGGGCCAGCGCGCTGGGCCGTATGTGGGATGGGAGGGTCAAGAGCGCCAGCGCGCTGGGTTAGAGCAGTGATGGGGCAGTCGTAGGCTTATCGCTAAGCTGTCGTGCATTCATCGCTCACGGGATTTGCAGGACGGACGCATATAGCCTGGTATTTCCCGTCAATACGCTACTTGTAATTCCTCGGCACACAGTTCTCATCTGTATTTTGACACCTTGAGCGATTGTGACGGTCAAACTACCTCAGTTCATTGGCTACAGCGAGCATGTAACTCCCAATCTTGTGATCGAGAGACTTCGTGGAGGCTTAGCTCCTGCATACTAGCAAGCCCCGCACCGCGCTTGCTACAACTTCCTAATCCTAGCCACTAGTAGGTAGCCACACAACGTGGGTTCTGGGGCAGATTAACTAGGTATCCGCGCATACTTGCCTATTTACCTGCCCCGTAACAACCAGAGAATGCATACCTGC